TTGTTTTCTCCCCAAAGGACAATTTTATTCTAAGTTCATGAGCTTGTGCTGAAAAACAACAGAACATTTCCAAAGTCCCAAAATTCAGTGGAAACACGAGTCTTAACGCTTTGGGTCCAAAGTTAAACTCGACATGTTGACCCCTGCCTAGCGCCAAGTGGAACAACCTCATGTCAACAAGAAAGGTGCAGTAGTTCCAGCCCCTGGGGGTGGCTGTGCTCAGTCACAACTCCACAGCTCACTGTGCCCCTGCCCACGGCCACCACCAACTCATGCTCCTTGTGGCAGCACCGGCCACAGCCATGAGCTGCCTCCTGGAGCCTCCACCACAGGCAACCTCCCTCTGCCCCATGACCCGCCGGCTGGACGCAGCTCATCACCAGCAAGCGGGGGTCTCGTTAAGGCTGGAGGTGCTCTGGCCCGCCCAGAGGTTCTTGGCCCTCCCAGCCGCAGGAGAAGTGGGATCTGGGTTCTCCCATGGCCTGGACGAGCGCTGCACGTACCGGGTGCAGGTAGCAGCACCAGCGGAGAGATGCAGAGGAGAGGCGGGAGCGTGGCCCCGGCAGCCACATGCATGGGGCAGCTCCACAGCGGAGTTGGGGTTTGGACCCCCCTCGGCAGTTCCAGGTGCCGATGCCGTGCCTTGGGGTCTGAGCCCACTCATCCTCAGAAAACCATGGTTAAAATCCCCAAAGAGAAAAATTTCAGCCATAAATCAGGTACACGCTGCAGACCAGAGTGGGACACAGTCAAAACCCGTCTTCAAAGGACTCCTCAGGCAGAGCAGGCTGTGGTGCCCCATGGATGCTGGAGGTTGCTGCTATCTCATAACACATGATTGAAAGATTGGAGTACTCAAAAATTCTGACTGCTACCTGCCTGGATTTAGAGCTTCAATTTTCAAGCCACTATTTCAAATGTGAAAGCTGAAATTTTATTTTTTCACAAAGATACTTGATTACATAATTAAAAACTGCTTCAGTGGTACAATTATCATGTTGACGCTCTCGTCTTTCTGCCCTGTCTGAGAGAATTTGTTACTTTTGTTAGATAATGCAGACAGAAGGGGCACTGACTCCTTGCTTTAAATTCCAAGATTATTCAAAATCGTTTTATCCCATATGACTGTAACTCCTACTGTGCACTGTGCTCTCTCATCAAAGACGGAAATCCCTGGTTTCACGAGGTCATCAAGTCCTCAGTGTTGCTGTTCTCACAGGGCACGAGCGCCCGTCCCCGCACACCCGTGCAGCCCTGCTGGCAGGTCAGAGCACAGGGGCAGCACCTAAAATGCTGCTTCATGTCTCTGCCAATACTAAACCATTGAAGTCATACTTCTACATGCACCTCGTTACACCTTCCACTGAAAAGAGCACAGGTAGAGGCACTTCTGTGCCAACCACTGAATTTATCTCCTTAAAAAAGTATTTTCCCTGCAGCCTAACAGAGATGGCAGCCCTTGATAACCCGCTTACTTTGTTCAGTGTCAGGAGCACCTGGTGGAAAGGACTGAAACTCTGCAGAGAGGGCACGGCCCTGGATGGTCACTGGTGACTGGGCAGCCAAGGGGTCTCCCCTGTGCGCAGGGCAACCAGGGGCAGAAGGAAAGAAAAGGCACTGGGGGAAACCAGGGTTTTTGTTATATTTTTGTTGTACTTGGAGGAAAAAAAGCATTTGTCACCTGGCTGAGACAGCTAAGAGCGATGTATTCTGCAGGTCCTACCTAGCCGCATGGAACGGCTGACATCGAGGGCTGCCCATGCCCCAGATCTCTCCTGTTACCTTCTTTTGTTGAAGCCAAAGAGCTGCTTTGAGTTGCCTACATTTACCTGGCCTTTCCTTCCCTTGAAGCAAACACAACAGTAAAATTCCCTGGTGTATTTCTCTCCTTCCTGAAGTTTCTTTTCTCATTTGCCCTCCTCCATACAATCAGACCCCTTTTCACACATGGGTGAACCCAGAGAATCATTTAGAGTGGGAACCACGTGAACCAGTTCAGTGGACATCAGGTAATTGTGCCTCAGAGGCCTTTCCGAAGGTCAAATATTTCTGGGTAATTTTCCCAGCTGCTTGCTTTGTTAAACGAAAACCCCCTGAAACTGGGAAAAGAACAAGGTGGCTTTGTGAAAGTCACTGACTGGCCCCGTGAATCCGCCTGCCCCGTATCCCCGCGTGATTTCTCTGTTCCTTTTCCAGGATGCCCATCTCCACAAGTCCCCTGCTCATGCAGAGCTTGCGTTGCTCACTATTGCCCTGAGAAGGGCTGAGATGTTCCAATGCACTTCTCAGCAGATTCTTACACTTCTACTTCACTTCCAAGCTTTTACAAAAAAAGGTTTGCTTTACATTTGCATCATGATATGAAAAACAACCTAAACTTCATCTCTGACACAGACAGGCAGGCAGGCAGGAGTGCCTGTGAACGGGGGATCTGTGTGACCTCTCCTGTGTCGACCATGACAGGGGAGTTCACGCTGCGGCCCTTCGTTCCAGGCACTGTAAATCTGGGTATGGCCACAAAAAAAACAGAAACATTTGTGATAACAACTAAGAGACTAAAAGATTGATTTAAATGAACTGACAAGTGCTACAGCCACAAGATAGTCACATAATCCCAACTTTCATACAAAGCTAGACAAAGAATATCAAACAAAGAAACTTTATGTTTTTCTTTAGCATGTGCACTTTCAACTACAGAAGTAATAGATTTGTTTTATACTAAGAATGGAAGCACCGAGGGGCTTTGCTAGACATAATTTATATTTTAGGATATATTTTAACTTAATAAACTGGACTTGTTTTCTGAAAAACAACTTATAACCTAGAACAGAACAATGCCACTTAGGCTCTAAATTCATTACAGCAAAGGCTTTTTTAAATTGCAAAACCTGGCACAACAAGGCCCTGGTTTGTTCTCTTCGGAATGCAGTACCAATAAAGAACAATGCAGTGCGTTCCCAATCCCAAATTCTTTACCGTTGCTCCAGACACTACAAAGGTTACACGGAGTTTGCACTGCACAGGATTCCTGTACTGCACAGGACTGTGAACGTGCACAAGTATTTCCAGACTCCAGACAACAGTTGTTACATAGATCCAAACACGATGGCGGCTGTGGTCAGATATACGTGTAGAGATGCATGTGAAGGGGCAGGTATAGGCTGGAATGGGCTCATTTTAATTAAGGAAAGCATGAAAACTGACAGATGCATTTGAGAAAGTAATTTTAAGGTAATGCAAGTGCATTTACTGCTGATGCTTAGTAGAGCTGCAGAGGGGAGCCCTGTGGCTGCTGCAGGCCACCTGAGAGCTGAGCTCTATTCTTACTGTGCACTGGACACGAACTGGGCACAAATCCTTTATCCCTGCAGACTCCAGCCCCCTGGGACCGTCCCCGTGACCCTCCCCACGCTCCTCTGTGCCTGCTGCCACGGGGGCCACGTCCTCCTGGAGAGGAACGCCTGGCCCCACTCGGCCCTGTCACTGCTCCAGGCTGGCTGTCCCCAGGGCCGTGGCCTGCTCCAGGCACAGAGTTTAACCTGTGTTTAAAATACATAAATGCCAGAAAAACTCTGTACTCCATTTAAAGATTTATCTCATTCCACTCGGGAGAGGAAGGAGAGTTTTTGCAAGAAGTAACAAAAAAGAAGCTCTAAAATGCCCTCACAAACTAGTAAAGACAAGACAAACAGTCACTGCCTCAGCACAGCACGTCTGGATTAGGCTGAGGGACCTGGGCTATCGGGGCTGTTTGCCTCATTGCTGGCTTGCACAAAAGCTGGTCTAAAGCTTTATCCTAAAGGAATGCAGTGTCCAGCAAGGACTGATAGTGATCGAGCGATGAAGTCCCCACAGGCATGTGCTCCTGGGGAACAATGGGACTTAACTGCATGCTGGGAAAAAGTCCCTCATCAGTACAGCAAGATGAAAGGTGCTGTTGGTTTAGAGAGAGAAAGAGCAGATTCAAGGCTGGAAGAAATCTGCTTTTCAATGGCAACATGCTATTGCCTCAGAGTTAAACTACTTGTTTCACCACGTTTTCTTTGGGGGTGCTGTTGAGGGACCTCTGAAGAACATCAGCAGCTCTTGTGTGAAGCTTCAGGAGGCTTTCTCTGTACCTCAGGTGACTACTGCTGTGTGACTAAGTGCTGAACAAAAGTTACTTCTTGTCATCTATTGTTGCTGCTCTTCCTGGGTGCGGGATCATTAAAGCATTTTATCAGCACACTGGGCAGAGCAGTAATCTGTCACACACCTCGTCAATCTAGAAAACCAGCACTGATTCACTACAATTGCTCCAGATCTGGGTTGAAGATAAAATTCATTGGGTTTTGGGGCATTTGGATGCTTGCTAGACACATTTGTTGCTTCTGGAGTAGCTGTCAGATGCAAAATGACTGGAAAAGCTCAAGGATGTCTTGGGGGCAGGTACTAAATAAAACCCAATCAAGATAAATTGTAGGGGTGCACTGCTCCTTCCTCCTCCTGCCTGTGGCCTCGGACTACTGAGACCTGTAGATTATTTCTAGAGCTTCCAAAAAAAGTAACTTTCGCAAGCTGTTATTACTGCACAAGCATCTGCACCTCTACTGGGAAAACACTGCACAAATCAAGATGATGGAAGTGACTCCTCTGTACTGAGCTCTTCCAGGGAACACAGGCTGCCTCGGGCTTTGGACGCTGTCAAAGACACGGGGACATAAAATCTGTCTGAGGTTCATCCCCCCGCCAGCAGCAAGTGTCATTATCAGCTCCTGGGGGAAGGCAACTGAAGTACCTGGGCCTGACTCTATCACTTGAGCCACATTCTTGCAGACTATGTCAAAGATTTCCAGTAGAGGCATCAGCCCTCAAAAACATTTCCAATCTTCTGGAAAGCATTTGCTATTCTCAACGTTTTTCAGACCATAAAGGAACAGACACAATAATTACACAAATGCAGTTCCCAAGAGGTTGTGTGGTACAAAAGCGTGACATTACTCAGTAGATTGATGGATTACATCTGAAGCCTTTCCAAAGGCCACACCTGCCCACGTCCATTTCCCAGCCCGCAGCGCTGACTTACGCAGCGAGGTCCACGCCGCAGCTCCCCGCGTGTGCTGCCTTCACATCCTGCCACAGCTCCTGAGCAGAAAAAGCCAAGGTTTGGAGGTTTGTTACTCAGCTTAATGACATGCTGCTCCTTGGCTGACAGCTGAGCTGGAGACGGGTCCTCCTGCTCCCCTGGTGAAGCGAGGTTCCCCCGAGAAGGGCCTCCCCAGGCGCCTCCACGGCAGGCGCAGCCACCGGGGCTTGTGGCGTGTCGGAGCCGGGTCTGCCCCGGGCCCCTCGGCCCCACAGGCACTGGCCGGGCTGCTCCTGGGACGCTGCTGGGGACAGCAGCCAGCAGCGGCTTGGAGACGAGCTCCGAGAAACCCCTCTGAGACATTTAAGGGACATGACTTCATTAGGGAACTGCCACAGATGCAAACATTTGCATAACGCTACAGATACCAACATATGGCCAACCCACCTCGCCCCACACAATCATCACAGTAAGACACAGTGCTGCTGCACCAAACCCACCGGGCACGGAGCCGCGCCTCGCATGGGCCGGGAAGGTCCCTGGGTGCCAGAACAGATGGTGGGAGAGCTGGAAGTGCTGGGCTCCATAAAGCGGCTGCAGGTGGGAGAGCCTGAGACAGAGTGAGGTGTTTTCAGGTGTTTTTGTCAACAGGTGGGTTCCAAGGAAAAGGGGTAGGTGCTCCTGGGCTGGGGGAGTGCTGGAAACATGGGTAGTGGGAGGGTGGCTCAAGGAACGCTCATGAACTGGACCCTCTGCCTCTGTCAGGGCCACGGGGATTGCCACACGCTGCTGCAGCCCGGCTCCCTCCCGCCCCCACTTCTGCTGCCCAGCTCCAGCCTGGCTGGGCTTAACCTGTGCGAGAGGCAGTGTCCCCCCAGCAGGAATCACCGGGGTCACTCCCAGCACCACCCCGCGCTCCTACCACCCCACAGACACACACGGTCTTTGAAGAGTAAGAGAAAGTGTGTTAATTCCAATTATTTCTGATATTATAATTGTCCATCACATGCATACACCCAGTTTTTTCCACTGAAGTGCAACAATAACATCTTTTAATCAGCCCTTTCTGTATGGTTAAAAACTCGCTGTCTGACGTACCGTATGCTCTTCCCTTTGTGCCTGCTTTGATTTCTTGATGCAAGTCAAGATCCACTCCAGCTGCACTTATCTTATACTTGTGTTTGGAATTAAATATTTCATCACATGCGCAAGGAGATCTATTTTGGTAAATATGAAATTCTATAATTAGAAAAAAATAGAGACCAAACCATTTCAGTATTCTTAGACTACAAACATTGTTTGTCCCCGTTAACAGCAGTCTAAAACTATAAAAACTATATGGTATAACATTTGCAATGTTTATATAACATATATATAGCATTTGTTAAAGACACATTGTCCTTTAAAGTCAGCCATATTTAATAACTTCTGGTTACTGTGTGTATTTGCAAACTGTAGTAAATCACACAATCTGAAAAACGCTGGGAATACAGTAATGTCTGTGAGCATCAGCGCTACCTAAAGGAGCCAGACACCAGATCTCAGCTTGTATCCCTCCCTCTCTCCCACAAAATATATTTATTCTGTACATTACTTAGTGGTTTGGGGTGGAAACCTAGCCCAGGCTGGAAGAGGCCTGGTGGTGTCTCCCAGGCTGCGCAGGAGGCTGGGAGGGTTTTGGCAGGGCGGGACCTCCCCCTCCCTCTGACAGAAACCCTGAACTGGCACGGTCTGGCAAGCACAGAATCACAGGACGGTTTGGGCTGGAAGGGACCTCAAAGCCCACCCAGTGCCACCCCCTGCCCCGGGCAGGGCCACCTTCCCCCAGCCCAGGTTGCCCAAAGCCCCGTCCAACCTGGCCTTGAGCCCTTCCAGGGAGGGGGCAGCCACAGCCCCCCTGGAACATGTTCCCTGTATGAGTGTGGGTATCTTTAATGAACAATACACTGATTTCTTCTGCAGGGGCGGATGCCAGGAGTCCTCTTCAATACTGGCGATGTTTCGTTCATGATTTCAGCTGCTCCCTCATGGAAGGAGCACAAAGGAACAGGCTGCCGAAGACGGAGGGCTCTTGCGGGGACAGCAGCAGACCCCCCGGAATTACTGCTGACCACAGAACCTGGCTCAGAGTGGAAAGAGAGAGTATTAATTAGGATTAAAGGGAAGTAACTAGCTTAGTATAATATGACAGCTGTGCCAAAGAGAATGCCACATTTTCTAGCTGCAATCCTACTGTCAGGTCTCTGTGTTACATTTTGGGTATTGGCCAGATCACGCTGGCTGCAGAATATTCTCTGTTACTGTAAGTCACTGGAGAGGGGCAGAATTATCTATATTTAGGCCACCAAGTCCCCCATGTTCATCTTTACTCCCTCTTTTAGTACTCTGCTTTCTATTTTTACCTCGCATATCCCGCAGCAGGTCTGGACACTTGCAGAAGGCAGGCCGTCCTCTCCCCAGAAGAATTAATGGCCACGCCTATAGTTTGTTTTCCATTTACTTCTTCCTTTCTTCACACGCAGGTTTTCTTATAATGCAGACTGTAAAAAAATACTCCAGCCTGAAACCAGCAGACCTGAAATGGAAAGCAAATCATGTATGAAATGGTGGTAGCAGAAAAGAAGGGGTGACATTTGCAGTGCAATTCTGCCTGGAATTTCAGTCGCATCTGTGCTTGTTTAAGATTATGAGAGTACATTTGAAAAGGAAAGCAAAGGATCGGTGGACAACAGACACAACTCATAACAGCATGGCTGCCAGACTGAGATGCGAGCAACACCCGCTGCTGCCTTTGCCCCCAGCAGGCAGGCTCTGCCGACCCTGCGGTCAGGGGTGCCACCTCCAGCCAGGCTCAGGAGGAGGGGGGGTAAAACCCGGCACCACATAAATAAGGCAGACACATACTGCTCATCATAAGCCAGCCGTATTTCTGAACATCTACATGATCTGAAACATGGGCTAACAGGAAAATCGGTGTTTTCCATGCCTACGACCCTGGAGGGAATTCCATGGGACCACCTCGCCGTGCTTCCCTCGGGCAGGAGCGGGTCTGCCCGACTGTCTCCCCCCTGCCCGCGGACAGCACAGGGGCGCCCGGGGAGGGGACACGGGCTGCTTTGCTCTGGTCCTGCTGCTGGGCCACCCCTGCCCTGGGCCTGGTTGTTCCAACCTACTTCCTCCAGCTCTGCTCAGAAGGGGCCGATCTGGGCAGAACATTATCCACAGGAAAGGCAAAAGCCAGCAGAGCGCCGTGGAGGGAACAGTCCGGGAGACTCAGGCCTTGCCAGCTGTGACCAGGAGTCTCGGAGCCCCCTCCCCACAGGACGTGCTTCGGACCAAACGTCGCATGGTTTCAAGTAATACAGATCAAAGTGATGTTCCTCACTAAAGAGGAACCCACAAACCAACAGCGAGGCTTTTCACAAAGCAGGAAAGGTAAAAAGAGCAGCATAGGCCAGGAGAAGGGAAGAAATATCTTTGGAAAAAAGCTCCAGGGCTGATGGTGATACAAAATGTACAACCTCGAAGCGGGTCAGTGCACAAACAAGCAGCACTCTGGAAAGGCAGGCAGAAAAAAAAAAAGAGAGAGAAAAGGTTAAGAAGCATCTCTGAGCAGTGGTGGAGCCACCCTACCCCCACCAGTAGTAACTGCCAGCAGCAGGTAGGTAACTCCTGTTCTCACCCATCTCAACAGACAAGAAAAGAAAAAAGAGATGAGAAGAAACAAGGGAACAAGGCATTCTGCTGGGAGCGAGGCGCAGCAGCTGGCAGGCTCAGGACTACAGCCCAGATTCTTGCCCTGCAAAGGTGGCTGCAGGTCCTGAGCGTTTCCAGCCTCCGCCAGGTTTGCTGCCCGCGGGTGCTCCCAGCCTGGCGGCAGCAGCGCATCGCGGCGTCGCTCTGCGCTCACGGTAACTCAGCTCAGCCCCTCACAGACATTCCCAGGTAACACCCAGCTCTTCCTCCCAGCACTGCGGGTCCTCCCCGCCAGGCCCGACTACAGATTTAGATCGACCTCTGCCATCTGCCTGCACAAGTCACAGGATTTGTTTTAGACACCTGGCTCTCCCTCCGGAGAGAATTCCTGCCCGGGGCACACACAGGAGCCCCGGACACCGAGGGGCCCGTGTCCTTCTCGGGCGCCCCAAGCCTCAGTCGAGAGCGTGGGCACCTGGGTGTGGGGCAAACGTGGTGGGACCACTCCAGCACCCACCGGCACCGACAAACCCAGCGGTGAGGAGAGGCAGTGACACGCAGGACGGAAGGGGGACAGTACGGGCAGGGTGGGGAGAGAAATTATTTCAGAGCTGGAGCTAATTTTGTAGAATCTGGCTGTTAAACAAAGAACCACAGTGTTTTTAAAATTCTGCTTATTGAATTAAGTCACTCTCCTGCCAACTGGATTACTTCAGCTGGCTGAACAATCTGACACCTCTTTTTAGAAAAGAATTTGCTAACATGACCAGCTCAGTATGACGGCATACCTCACCATTCCCTCTGCCGTGCTCTCGGGGAAAGTCAGGCACTACAGCTGAAAACAAAGCCCTTTTATGGGAAACTTCTATAGAATTCAGAAACAACTTGGAGTAGAGAACTCAAAACATTTCTATTTTGAAGCCCAACAGAACCATGGATTGGTACTTAGAGTCTGGCACTTTTTATATATCTGCATTAACATAAAAAGAGTGTATTCTTTAGCGTTAAAATTTAAAAAAGAAGAAATAATTTGATTAATTGCATATTAATAGATGCTTTTGGAGCACGAGGCTTCTCCCTGGCTTCTGAGGGGGTTGTTTACAGAAACGCTCCATGCCAGGGGCTGCCCTTCGCCCCCACAGCACCAGCAGGGCCAGGTGCAAGCGCTGGTGTCCGCGCTGCAGCAGCGCTCACGGGGCAGAACTGGGATCTGCTCTTCGTGGGGCTGGGCGTCACTTCTGTACGCTCAGAGACAGTCCCCGACCCAAACAAGTCTGCTTAGGAGAAGGGAAGTTTGTCTGTTTTATACAAGGGGGCTGATCCAGAAAGATTACCCTTGCTACCCAAGAGAGGTTGCTGGAAAGCTCGTTTGGATGCCAAAGCAGTGGCTTAACCTGAAGATACGTGTCTGCTGAAGGAAACAGAGAGCTACAAAACTTCACCTTTTCTTGACTTCTTTACTGCTAATTACTGTGCAGTCTGAACATCTGGTGTAAGTCATTCTCTCCCAAAACTCCCCTGCAGACACGCTTCAGCTCTCCTCACAGCCCAGAGTTGTGATGGTGGGACAAACCCAAACAGGACGAGTTTTGGAGTTATGGGCACCTCTGCCTTCTTCTATAGTATCTCCAACACATTGGGACTTCTTTACCTCCAAGACAGCTCTATCAGCCTCCGAGGGCCTTTTCCTTCCTCTGAAATCCAGTCCTGCCTTCTTGCCCACTGATTTCTTGCTTGGAAATAAAAGCAGGTGTTTTACCCCCAGCTGATGCCTTAAGTCTTAAAACACTTGGATGTCACAGAACAATATTAAAAAGAAAACAAGAGAGCTAGAAAGAGCTAGAACCCTTTTGAAAACCCAGTGGCGTTTTTTGGGATGCTATCTGTGTGAGAGGCTGCTGCTCTGGAGAGTCATTTGGTAGCTCTTTTGGTATCTCTCTCAGATTCATTGATGGAAATCACCAGCCTGTGTTAGATCAGACCATGACACCTCTCTCTGCCCACAGACAGATCACAGCCTCTAGACACAAGCTGTACCAGTCATTGGTTCTTAAACTAAAGCTAGCACAGACTTATTTAGATCAGGTCACGATTTTAGCTTAGTTATTCTCAATGAGCTTAACCTAATATTCCTGAGACAGCTAAGTATTAACTTAGGGCAAAATTTGATGGGGATTTTGAACCAGATTAGTGAAAACAATTTACGAAACACGTTTAGTTTAGTTCTAGAGAACAATTTACAAAACACTGGTTAGTGTCCATCTGAGAACGGGCCTGGCGCAATGCAGCACGCTTTCCTTGCCCCTTTTCTTTCTGACACTTGCCAGAATCATGAGCTGGAGGAACAGAGACCTTGTCCTTAACCTCCTTTCTCTGTGGAAAGCTGGATCCCCGACTCCCCCAACACCACTGTGGTCGCTCTCCTCAGGCGCAGAGGAAAGCGGAGCAGAGAGCAGAGCCCTTCTGTCAGTTGGCCCACGGGCCTGAGGAAGCCACAACACGCCCAGAGCAGGAGCGAGAGCAGAGAGGTTTTGGGGGCCTCGCGGCTCCCCCCTCCTGTGCTGCCAGCCCTTTGTCACCCCCCTCCTGGAGACGGGACCCTTCCCAGGTGTCCTCCCCCTCCTCTCCGGGGCCGACGGCACCTTCTCCCCGGCTCCTGCGCAGGGGATGAGCCAAGTGCTCCGCATCCTGTGCGGGTCCAGCGCCTTACGGAGCAGGCGCCGAGCGAGGACACGGGTTCCCTCAGGGCTGAGCCTCGGGGGGGGGACACGGGCAGCCCAAGGCCGTGGTGCAGACACCACCGCAGACCCGGGGTGCTGGGGAGCGCCTCAGTGTCATGGAACCCAGAGCCCTGGGCCATGGGTGCATTACCCACTGCAGCGTGCTGGTCACGGGGCACAGAGCTACAGCGGGACGTGCACCTTCTTTAACTCCATAACTTGAACGTATCTGCTTTTCACTTAATACAGACAACTCTTGTTTCAGTGTCCCCTCGGGACATTGTGTTCTCTGGAGAAGGGTCCAGGGACAAAAAGTGTCTTTTGAAGGCTCTGATTACTCCTGTGCCTATTTCTCCTACCTGATAAGCCTATCTGTGAAATTCCAAGAGGAGATGGTTATCTCCTCTCACACAAATACCTCAGGCTAACCTTACTTTGATACAAACCTTCTGTGATATATTTCTGTAAGCAAAGAACTACTTAAGTGCTACCCCTGAGGAAATACTAGCACATTGTTTTGCTTCTGTCTCATTTTGACTCTAATAAAGAATATTTTTTTGTACCAGCTCTGTCCTTATATCATTACAGTGTTTTTTTCTTTCGGTAAGCAGTTACAGTTCTACTTATTAGTTACTGCTGTAACTGCTTGCAATGCATTTCTCTTTGGAATCAGCAAAACACCAAGGATATTTTACACAAAAAGAAACGTGATTTTGTCAAACAGTACAAAAGGTGTCTTGTGGATTTTTGAATTTGCATCAGTCCTGTATATTTATATTTCTTGATAATACTTCAGAGTAAGTGAGATTAACAGCTGTGCCTTGGAAACGGTACTAGGCCTGGCCAGCTGGACCAGGCCAAGGCCCACAGACTCAGGCTGTCAGTCAGTGCCACGCTGACCCTCTACTGAACCCTATTCCCACCACCACCACACGTTAATTCTGAGAGAATTAACATTTTCCAATGACAGAATAGACTGAAATCGGTGATCTTGGACCAGCAGGCTCTAACTAGGTGAGAGTCAAGTCCTGTTCAAGTCTTGCAAGTGCTAACAAAAGAGCAGCCGTTCTCCCCACTGACCGTTGTGGCGTTTACCCATTTTTTTAAACATGTAGATAGAATAGCACGTTAAAGTCAAAAGAAAAAAAAATATCTATGC